CATTATAACACATTGTTTGTGATTAAAAAACAAATTTTATTAATATCCAATTTATTTTGAAACATACAATGCAACCTAATGGATCACTTAGAAAACCCTAGTTGATTTTACTGCCAAGTGCTTTGTCTCCCCATCCCTCTCCTCTCCTCCCTTTGCCTGGTTCCCTGGATGCTGAACAAACACAATGTTCCCTCCGCAAGATCACAAGATTTATCAGGCCAAACAAACAAACAGCACTACAACAACTGCAAATGAAGGCCAATCTTTATGCAGTCAATAAAAGGAGAAGCTCCTTTAATCTCCGCCTGCGTCCTGCACTTTGCAACCCTCCTCCCCCCTCTCCCTTCACCATCGCTCACTACCGCACTTACTCCACGGCCCACCCACTCGGCAGACCCTTCCTCCACATACAGTCAGTACTCGCCATGTTGCTGGGTTGGGCTTAAAGGCAAGGAAAACGTACTGACGCATCAATTATTCATAGAACCCTTTCTCTCCCTGTGTTTCTCTACGGTGAACGTTCGGTGTATTTACAGGGCTGGTAACGAGGTCTCCTGAGATGGGAATTATGAGATGGAAAAATGTTCAGCTGGAGATTGAGAGTTGGTGTGACAAACAAAAGCAATGGAGTGTTTAAAAAAAAGCATAGAGAGGAGAAAGGGATTCAGTTCTCCTCTTGACCTGCCTGGTGTCTGCCCCTCGGCATCTCCGTATCAATTACTGCTTCATCATCTGTCTTTTCAGCTGCGGTATCTGGTTCATCTAATCCCAGCATTTACATATTATTCCATATGACAATGAGACCGTGTATTCACATGCTATGCCTCTCTCTCTCTCTCTCCCTCCCATTCACACCTATTGTCCCTTTCCCTCCTCTTTCTGGGTCCTCCAAGGTTATTGTGTTCATGTCAAACCCAAGTGTCTGCAGTAAGGCCCCTGGCCAGGCTGTGTGTGCGCCTTTGTCCATGCTGTGTGTATAGTCTGTCGGTTTGAGCCAACTCTAATAATAGCCCTACTGTCATAAACATAGTCTGGAGATCCCTGCGGCCAGCTGTGTCCGGTCCAGTCGCCCAGGGCTCCAGTAGTGACATACACACACTCACTCATTCCCAAAGCACTTGCCAAACCAAAGGCCACGAACTCCTATAGGAGCGCCGAACTGCCCTTTATGGTCTGTGTGTTTGTGTTGGGTCTTTTAAATTACTTTCAGTATTATAGGTTATTTATTTTGGGAAACATCGGTGGAGTTGTACACGTAAGAAAACGATGGGGTGTGTCGGTGCCAGTTCATTGTGTGCAGCCATATTTTTAACCCAGCTGAGAGCAGTACTTGGAGCAATGGGGTAAAAGTGAACACCAGAAACAAAACAAAGTATTTTATATATCTGCCGAGTGACACTGCTTTAAAGTTCAAACCGCCCCCCCCACTCCCCCCGTGGTGTACACCTTGCTCTGCTCAGATGACACGTCTTCACGCAACATATTGAAATGAACACAGTTACTCACACGTTTGTGTCAGGATAGAACAGCTTTGTCGAAACAGAGAAAAGCCTGTGAGACCATGTGAGTGAGGGCGACATGGGAAGTGTTTTTTTTTTGCCTGTCAGTTAGCAGCAGTGGGAATCGTGACGGACGCTCAGTTCTTTAGCGTGTACTGCCACGTGTCACGGTGAATATTAACAAGTAAAAAGAATACTCTGCACAACTTGGGCTGGAATTTGTCGAACTCTCTGATCTTTTACCTGCCACCACCATCCCTTCTCAGATACCTATCCTTTGATCCTGGGGGAAGAATTCTTTGGTATCCCCCCCACTATCACCTCTTTCTCCCATTCTGCTCCCCCATTTTTATGCTGCCCCACCTCTCTCTCTCTCTCTCCCTCCCATTCACACCTATTGTCCCTTTCCCTCCTCTTTCTGGGTCCTCCAAGGTTATTGTGTTCATGTCAAACCCAAGTGTCTGCAGTAAGGCCCCTGGCCAGGCTGTGTGTGCGCCTTTGTCCATGCTGTGTGTATAGTCTGTCGGTTTGAGCCAACTCTAATAATAGCCCTACTGTCATAAACATAGTCTGGAGATCCCTGCGGCCAGCTGTGTCCGGTCCAGTCGCCCAGGGCTCCAGTAGTGACATACACACACTCACTCATTCCCAAAGCACTTGCCAAACCAAAGGCCACGAACTCCTATAGGAGCGCCGAACTGCCCTTTATGGTCTGTGTGTTTGTGTTGGGTCTTTTAAATTACTTTCAGTATTATAGGTTATTTATTTTGGGAAACATCGGTGGAGTTGTACACGTAAGAAAACGATGGGGTGTGTCGGTGCCAGTTCATTGTGTGCAGCCATATTTTTAACCCAGCTGAGAGCAGTACTTGGAGCAATGGGGTAAAAGTGAACACCAGAAACAAAACAAAGTATTTTATATATCTGCCGAGTGACACTGCTTTAAAGTTCAAACCGCCCCCCCCACTCCCCCCGTGGTGTACACCTTGCTCTGCTCAGATGACACGTCTTCACGCAACATATTGAAATGAACACAGTTACTCACACGTTTGTGTCAGGATAGAACAGCTTTGTCGAAACAGAGAAAAGCCTGTGAGACCATGTGAGTGAGGGCGACATGGGAAGTGTTTTTTTTTGCCTGTCAGTTAGCAGCAGTGGGAATCGTGACGGACGCTCAGTTCTTTAGCGTGTACTGCCACGTGTCACGGTGAATATTAACAAGTAAAAAGAATACTCTGCACGACTTGGGCTGGAATTTGTCGAACTCTCTGATCTTTTACCTGCCACCACCATCCCTTCTCAGATACCTATCCTTTGATCCTGGGGGAAGAATTCTTTGGTATCCCCCCCACTATCACCTCTTTCTCCCATTCTGCTCCCCCATTTTTATGCTGCCCCACCTCACACTCTCTGGGGAGGTATAGAATAAAAGAGTAGGGTCCTGTGTATGCATATGTATGGTGAAAAACAAGTTGGGGGTTGGAGTGTGGCTCAATGATCCGAGGGTAGGAAGCTACAGCGATAATAAAGAAAAAAAAATGGGGGAAAAAATTCAATCTCTGTCTCTCTGCCTGCTTACAATTTCCATTCGCTTGCATTTTCTATTGAAAGCCAATAGCGTTGTCCCGGGCCTGAGATGGATGGCTGCACTAGAGCTAAGGTTTAATCAATAGGTCTTTTTAATTTGCCATCGATCCACGTTAAAAGCTACTGCGGTTGCTGCTCCTGCTGCTTGGTGTGTGTGCACGTGTACGGATCCAAGAGTACTGTATTTGTGTGTGTGTGTGTATTTGTGCATGGACGCACAGACCGTGCATGTGTGTCTGTGTGAACACTCGACGTACCCCAATGCAGATCCAAGCATCTGCGTTTGTGTGTTTCGCTGTGCGGCAAAGGCTGAGATGGCTGATGTGCTTCGGTTTATTGACTTTCTGGACCATTATTTAATTATTTAATTCTCAGGCAGATACTAATGGAGCTGGCTAATAGATTGCGGTCGCTTTTCCTTTCCCTCAAAGCTCCTGAATATACGTATAAATAGAATTAGGTCCAACTCACTCGCTGTTGGAGAAAATTCACAGTGCAATGTGAGGCCTCTCCCTGGAGAGGACATTCTCATATAGGCACATCAACAGCTAGAAATGCATTTAGCAGCACGCCCAGTCACTCAGGCACGTCAGCTGCAATTACACGTACAAATACCACAGAGTGCCATCATGGAGTCTGGTGTCTGGTCTGGGTTTGTTTTATTTATTCTTTTCTAGCAAAGACAAGTCTCCTTGCTCAGTCATAGAACTTTTAGGGCAATATAGAAAAGATAAGAAATCCCAAGTTACATTGTGCACACACCCCCGTCTTGTTTGTAATCTTCTGCTACTATACAATATTTCTAAATTAACGACTCCTCCATCTTCTGTCCCTTGTCCAGGTGACCGTGTACGTCAGACTGAAAACCGTGAAACCCGCTGTAAGGTGGAACGTCTGCAGCTGTTGATGCAGCAGAAGCGCCTGCGCAGGAAGGCTAGGAGGGACCAGCGTGCCCCGTACCAGTGGCTGCCCAATCGCAAGGCTGGACGCAGCAACAGCAACAGCAGCATGTCCAGTGAGGGCTCCCTGGACCTAGACTTTGAGGATTCCGTGTGGAAACCGGACGTCAAGGCTGATCTGAAGTCAGAGTTTGTCATGGCCTAAACAGACTGAACCAGTGCGCTCCGGGAACAGAGTCAAAGATGTGCAAATAGTTACTTGGGATTTACTCTGAGAAAGGCCTGGATTAGCAGGTGGTGACAGCCAGGTGTGCGATGTGCGAAGGAGGAAATCAAAGTTGTTGGTGCGATTGCTGTTTGTGGCATAAAAAGGCTCCCCACTCCAATCTTATTCTGTTATTGACACGTGACCTGGTGGAAACGGCAACATCACAAACAGTACCTTCTTGCCATGCTTGGATTTGGACAGGCTTCAACTGGACTGAATGATGTGCGAGACTATTTACAGTGGTATGATCACAGAGACCATACCTCAACTTGAGCATAGCAGAATTCAGTGGTTGGTGGTGGTGATTTAGTGTATTTTTTCTTTTTTTATAAAGAGCACTCTGGACAGCAATGAAGCAATCCACACTGGACTTATTGACAGAACAGGAAGAACACCAGAGACCTCTGTGTTTCCTAATTGTAAGAAAGGCAGAACTGCCAAACTATGGATTTTTCCAATGGGCATTTTATTGTTCTCTAAACTCACCAACCAGAGTTCTTTTTTTTTGTTATGGGGCGGTTAAACTTTTCTTTTCCATACTGATACATACTATGATATTTTATAAACAAAAATATGTAGCATTGTTCACAAAGCATTCAGGTTTTCATATACCAGTGAAACGTTTTGTTGATTTCTAAAGACTGGTCAAAGCATGCAGGCGGTAGTAGGGGGCAGGGCCTGATATGAAAAAGGAAAAAAAATATGAAAAGTGTGGCTATCAACCACCATAACGTAGGCTATTGATAGGAATGATTAAAGAATAAATAAATGAATTAAAATTAACAGAAAGTGCTTTAGAGGTTTTTAAAATCCTAAAAAATGTATATGGAAAAAATCTATTTTTATTTCTCTTCCTATCTGCTGTTTTTAAAAAACAGCAGCCCTCTGTGGCTTCAGTCAAGTCATTGACTAGAAACAAATACATCCATTCAATCATAAACTTGTCTATTCATGAATATATAATTGTGTAGACACACTAAATGAAAATAGCAAGACAATTTTCATCCAGTCCACCTCATGTCTTACAGATCTGAATTGGCTTGTCGAGGGTTTGTAACAGCTTTTGTACATAGATGTCACAATTGGCAGAGGTCTAAGGGTGCGTGTGTGTGTGTGTGCGTGCGTGTGCATGTGGTGTGTTTGACTTTAAATTGATATAAATTCCCATGTTTTTGTCACAGTTATATTCTCACAGTCATCCCTGTAGTTTCTCCTTAATTACAAAGTTCTACTGCAGTGTTTGGGCGGGGCACAAAAAAAAAATCTTCAAATCCTTCCCCAGTCCAGGTCAATTTGATGTTGACTCATCTGTCCTACATTTTCAAAACAAAAAATAAATTACCAACTATTTTTATTGGCAAAGAGGGAGAAGATTTGTGATCTGTGCCGAGCGTCTTGACCTAGTGCCTCCACCAGTTCATCCATTGACATATCAGGTTAGGCCTTTCAGAGTTTTGCTGCTACATGTGGGGACTTAAAAAAAAAAAAACTAAACGAAAGCGGTAGGCGAAAAAAGGCTTTTCTTTGCATGCAGAAGTGTGAAATTACAAAGAATTTTTTTTCTATTAATGAACAGAAGAAAAAAAAATCTGGTGCCGTGGGAATGAAGGTTAACAACATGCATGAATTTGTGAAGAAAATAAACAATGCTGCTTTTGTCGGATAGTTTTTTTTTTGTAACTTTTTCTTATCAATGTGAGAGCAACCGTGTCCTGCTAAAGTATTATGATACAAAACCAAAACCGATGAAGTCAAGTGTGGACTCAACTCTGTTTTTCTCGGCACTGAACATTCCTGGTGTGTGACAATGAAGATGAGGATGAGCAAAGAGTGAATGACTCTATCTCCCTCTCTCTTTCTCTACTCCTGAATGCTGACTCTACCCCCTGTGACTCTAAAGGAAACAGGACCCTTATGAACTGTTATGCCACCTCCCCTCCTGGCAGCCAGACTGCCAACCAAGGCTGCTGTGGATGTGTTTTTACAGGGAGCCAACAGGCCTGCAGATTCACAGTACTGTCGGTGAAACTTAATTGAGAGAAACATGTATTTGGCATCTGTCTCTGTCATCCGTCTGTCTGATCCAGCGATTACCCTACCACAATTGCACTCATAGAGATTGCAGTGAGAGATTACCTTTTTGGTGAACCTCATCTTTTTTTTAAGTGGCCTTACCTTTCACTGAAAAATGGGACAATGGGGACAGGAATGTTTGTGTGTTTTCTTTCAATTTCTATGTTTATGGTTGTCAGACGTGTCATCCGTCTTTGTCACAGGACATGGGGCATCTGTGGTTTAGTGCTTTTAGCTGGTGGAGTCTCTATTATGTCAAGGCTTCTGTGCCTTAAGTATGTTGCCCTTGCTGTGTCAGTGTCAGATTTTAGGCTTGTTTTCATTACACATCTGCTTTTTTTGTTTCTTTTCAGCCACAAGAGTCCTAGTTATAGAGGTGAAAATTGTTCAACTGACTCAGATGCTTGTCAGTCAGTGTGGTTTCTCCAATGCTGTCATTGTTCCATCTCTTCATGGTGTGGCCACGTTCGATGGTCTCAGTCGTTCAGATCTTACATCCCTCTCAACTCAGTCTCCCCACCAACAACCTGTGTAACTTTACCCAAGTACGTTAAAGGACATTTCATTAATGGTGAATCAGCAGAGTTAGAAAGGTCCGAAAGGACTCGAGACGACATCATTCGCTTGCAGATTAAACTTTGAATGACAGTATTTCACATGTCGCGCCCAAATTTAATTTTTTTTATATACGTATGGATTATACTGTGTGTGCCTCACATCTGTGTGAAACTCAAAAAGATGAAACAAAACAATAAGTTGACAGCAGCATTAAAGAGAGGGTAAAAACAATATGTTGGTGGAATTCTGGTCCTGTCATTTAAGTTGCCTGTTATTTCTTGTAGCCAACTATTGAAAATAACAGGATTCAAGGATACAATTTACAATGTTCTAGCTCTAGACCAGTGTAGCACATGTGTGACTGTATTAATTTATGAAACCAAAATGGTAACTGTGAATTATGTATTTCTTTGTGCATTTTTTTAAGTGGGGAAGATGGTTGTAGAGACACAGCAGCAGCTTGTGTCTGAAAAAAATGTTTTTGGTGGAATATAATGGATACAACGATATGTTTCCAAAAAAGAGGAAAAAAAAGAAAAAAAGGAAAAAAAAGAAAAATATATGAATATATTTTTTTTCTTAAGCAATACATTTCAGTGTGACTTGTGATAGAACGTTTTTCTTTTTTAGGTAATAAATAAAAAAACAAAAGAAGTGCATCACGTTGTGTCTGTGGCAGTTCATTACCCCGCTACTCTCATGTACACGTCACTATTACCAGGTTTTATTGGTATCGGACATGCAAAAGTTGTACCGAGTCAATCAATCTTACAATTAATTGCGGTATTAAGCGCTACGTTTTAATTTAATTTTTTATTGCAACATTTCTTCAATATCGTCAGATGATAATAAAAGCCGGAACTCTCCAACGGAACTTGCCTTCCCTGCAAATTTCAGAAGAGGCCTCAAGAAGGAAATCGTGGAAATAAAGTTATTCCGTCGAACAGCGCATTATATCAGCCGTGTAGGAATACTTTGGTTACCGAAGAAAATGACCAGGGTGTCGTCGTGGACGACGGCTAGCCAGAATTTAAAGCATGCCAAAAAAAAAATGCGGTGAAAGGAGGAAATACAGCCAACATGTTTCATCACCTGCGGGACAACCACCTGAAATTGTTCGCCAAAGTAAAGGTAAATATACAGTAACTGAATTAAATTACAATGTTTTCCTAACGTAATATTGAATTAGGACATTAAATGTTGGCTTGTTATCTGCAATGACTTATTCACGAGTACGAGTTTGGCTTTCAGTGCAACGTCACACGATGAAGTATGATTTGCATTGTGTTATATGGTATGTTACAGTTCTCATCAGCCACGTGTTACATACAGGCGTCATTTGAACACATCCTGTTCATGTAGGCTGGAAGGTCTAAATGGTTAAACCACCGTTTTAATCGTGAAACCAGACGAGGTTGTTATGATTCTACAGTGAACCAGTGTTCAAAAATGCCACTGTGACTCACTGTAGATAGAACCACATTTTCTGACCAGTGACTACAATATATATTATATAAACATATGACTATTTTAATGGTCAATCTGTCCATTTTTGTTTATATCCAAAAGTAAATAAAATTAGCACAAATCCAGGAGATAGATAGATAGATAGAAGTTTATATATCTATTTTTCTATGTTTGTGCTAATTTTATTTACATTTGGATACATTTATAATAAGGTAAATATATAATAAGGTAAATATATAATGTAAGAATTGACAATATTTGTTCACAATTAATGCAGTAACAATAGAAATGAATTATTATTAAGTGTTATATATTTTTTTCAATGGCTTATTGTCCAATTTGTTCTTTGAAGCCAGTTGGAATTTAGTAGCAGCATACAGTAAAAGCACAACTCTCCGCTTTAATGTCACTGCCCTAACAAAGTGTCAAAAAGTAGATTCCTAATTAGAGCTCGTTAATGAGTCAGTTTCTCAACGTCCATTGGTTTGGTTTCCTGTCAAAGCCATATTTACCGTTGCCTGAATTTATAGACAGCTTATTTTTAAAGTTACCAGTAAATCTTTATTAGGTTTTTAAAAGTTTTAATCTTATCTCGACACCATTTATATAAAAGTTAAAGGACTCTAACCAGGTCATTTAGCGGTAATTCTGATTAAAACCCTTTAGTCACACAGTCTGCGTGTGTTTTTGTTTTAATCAAGGCTTTACATATTACTGGACAAAACAGGAGCATCTGCTTACGTATATGTTCTCAGCACTCCCAGTCATACTGCAACCATCACAAGCCTCTTCTCAGAAGTTGCTGCCCATTTCTGTGTGAATTTGACTATCACCCCCATCCTCCACACTTGCTTTCTGCAAGCTTGCTATCTGGGGAAGTAACTAAGTTTGGAGGCAGAGAAGAACAGAAACGGCATGAAAGAAAGACGGCGAGAAAGAGAGGAAGACAAAAGCAGAGAGACAGATAGAGGGGGTGGATAGAGTCACGGTGTTGGTGCTCAGCTGCCACCACAAACTGAAACCCTGTGGCTCTGGGATTCAGAGGAGTTCCGTAGAACTGGGGTTTCACATGGTGCTGTGTGATCTAAGATAAGTCATGCTCAGCTGTATCCTCTCTTGATATAAACACACACATACAGACGCACACAAAGAGGCACCCTTGAACACACACACAATTTCATATGTAACAGAAAATATTCCAGAATGTCACTCTGCAAGTAGAGCAGCTCCTTTTGTCATATTGAAAGTTCATCACATGCACTGAGCAGACGTGTGTGTCTGTGTGTCGAGTGTGTTTATGAGCATTACTTTTCACACCACACAAAGATGTAGAAAACATAAACGGGCGTACTTACTGAAATGTTCTTCTGTGTTTCCCAATTGTAAAGTTAATTACTTAAATTATTCCACTTGGGAGACTTTGGATTTTTGAGAGCATATGTTCTTATATTTTTAGAAAGTACACAAACATTTCTGACCATGAAGATAGTATTTTACTTTCTTTTTTGATGCCTTTATAATTGTTTTTTTTTTTTATGACAACAACCAACCTAATCTAAATTTATAGGCCCTGTAGCTGTATTTTTCAACCTTGGGGTTGCGAGCCCACATGTGGACGCCTGGAATTTAAATGAGGTCACCTGAAATGTCTAGTACTGATAAAAATATTTTTTAACTATAGTTATTTCTAAATTACATCTCCATTGACGGCTGTGATCACGTGAAGTCTGCTTGAGTTAATTTGAGTACTTATCTGGCTGCTCTGTATTTGCAACACGGTATAACAAACATGATCAAAAACTAATTCTAGAAAGAAAGAACCAGTGATCTGTGGGTTGGATTGAACTGAGTAAACCCCCCCTGTCTTTAGGTCTGGGCTGTAACGTCTCTGCCTTACATCCTCCTCCGTGAGAGCCAGGGCTGTTTGCATGGTCAGCAGGGACTTTGTTGTCTTTTGTCTATTCTTGTTAGTTCCCTGCACAGTCCAACGGGATGAATTGCTTTCTGTTTGAAACATTACCTGATAGATATTTATGCAGCTGTGCGGCTTTTTCTGGGCTCACGCACAAAGGACAAGTCGTGACTGGGCCATTGCAGGACAAATGAACACACACATACACGTATTAGGTTTAGAGGTGTTCAGCTGTCTTTCCCCATCAGTGTGGAGCCAGTCAACCCTGGCGCTTGACCTTGTAACCCAAGGGGTAACGGCACAGAGGTCTTGGTTAAAATAAACGCTGGATTTTGGGTAAACAGGATGTGTACACCCACCCAGGCATATGGCACTCACTAATCACAAGCCACTGAACTGGCAGGAAAGCATGTGGAAATCATCTCCATGGAAGCTGCTCCAGCACAACATTAGCAGAAACCTCCAGTACTGTTAATATAAATGGCTCAAGCTGCTTAGCAACTGAATCTGCTCCCAGAGCTGAGGGAAATATTTTCTCTAAAATGAACATAATTTGATTTGGGACATGCTTAAAGAATAAAGGATAGATTGCTAATTAACAAGTCGAGTCAGTGTTTGTCTACCCGGCTCTTTGGTGTCCTTGAGCAAAGACAACGTCGCCTATATAACCACTCACGGACAGCTGTTCCAGCAGGGTGTGATGAGAACTGTGTCTGCCATTGTAGGTTTGAGGGGTCACTGGGAAAGTGGCTGCATATATGAACATACAGTCCCTTTTCTGTCTAAATGACAGTTGGTTCCAGTTCAGTGGTGAGGTTGTTGTCAGAGATCAGTTGGTGAAAAGAACCAAGGACTAAGGAAGAAAACCTGACTTTTGCAACTGTTGAATTTTGTAATCCTCTGTGTTGGATTTGTTGAAATGTACAAGCATTTAAAATCACTTCCTCCCCAACATATCGCAACCTGCGTGCAGTTTGTGTGTGTGCCTTTTTCATGCACATTTGTCACTGTGGAGGTTTTTGTGCAGTTGTCATTCGTTGAATGCTTTTTTGTTTGTTTGTGTCCTCCACCGAACACCTGTCTCTCTCTCTCTCTCTCTCTTTCCCTT